TACTTCCTAAAATATGGGTGTATTTGTATCTTAGTAATTAGTGAAGTGGTTGAGAATTCTGAAGCTTTTGTGTCAAAACTCAGCAGAGGAAAAAATACACCAAGTGATTTTGTCATCAAGAACTCTCAAGCACACGAGTTTTGTACAAATAAAAAAATAAGACATTTTATTCAATATTATCATAATGTATTAACGTATATACTCGTGTCGAATGTGGATCTGTTCCAATTTTGAATGAAGTTGTTTGAAATATACGAACTTCTCTATAGAGAAATAATAAATTCCTCAAGATTCGAATCATGAATCTGTTTCTAATAGAAAATGACAAGTATCCCATAAAATTAATCGAAAATTAGTTATGCACAACTTTCATTAAAACAAAAGGTATATGGGTGCACTAGCTAGTAAAAAGATAAGAAAAAAATGTATTGAATGAGAACTAATTTGTAGACCTCTAGTTACATAACTCAATGTTCTAACTAGGTGCACTATATCACCTTAATATAATATAGGTACCAATATATAATATCATATCAATCTTAAAAATATATACATGAAAAGTAACTATTTTTTTGAGAGACCACAAAGTTTACAGGCCCCATTTTTGGGATATAATTTTGCCACTGAGCCTAAGAAAAAAATTTGAGCAATAAAATCATCTTTACAGTGTTATAACATGTAATTTTTCTTATTTTTAATATCACAAAATCTCTTTATATCTATAATAGAAAATATTAAGTCATGTGTGTAATTTTTCTCGAGTGGTCTGATTATACATATATGATCCATATAATATATAAATTAAACTCAATTAGCTTATAATTTTTAAAAGAGCTAGTTGCCATTTTTTCATAAATACGCTATTGTATGGTTTTATGGGAAAAAATTATGAGCAATTTGTAAATTTAACAAAGTTCTTAAACGTAACACAACATAATTTAAGAGTTTTGTTACTTACAAGGGAGGAATATATGAAACCCAATTCCCTTCCACTAATTTGTTTTAATTAGTTAGCTTTTATATATATATATATATATATATATATATATATATATATAAGATCTTTTAAAAAATAACTTTTTAAAGAAAATTGGTGCAGTTTTTCAATGACCTACGTGACACTATCTTGTGAGTCCAACGTGTGTTGACATTTTCTTTCAAGCTAGTGCCACATAGGCTGAAAAACGAAAAAAATTATTTATAAAATAAGTTCAAAAGTAAGAAAACATTAATATAATATAAGTGTGTCTTTAAAATTTCGAACATAGATTGAAGTCACTTATGCATTTTCTCTTTATTTTACAATATTGAGAGATTTCATTTGGTTTGAAAAGTACACAATTGTTTTTCTCTTTATTTTACAATATTGAGGGATTTCATTTGGTTTGAAAAGTACATAATTGTAGTTGAAGAATAAAAATAAAATAATAAATTTTTTATTAAAGAGCATATGAGTCGATTGATAAAATTATTCATGTATAGTCATAAAAAAAAAAATTTTGAATAATGATTTTATAGGTTATTCATAAATTTATTATTTAATGTTACTTTTTTTTATAAAGTAATCTTTATTTTACACATAAGAAATATTCATTTTATACATAAGAGACTTTGAAAAGATTTTTTTCTATTCATATTGTAAAAAAAATTACAGTAAATATTCTCGGTTACTATTGTTATATATGTTTGCTACTTCTTTTACAGGCTGTTTTGATCGATTTTTCTTAAACTGAGTATCTATTATTGACTTTAAAGTAATATTATGTCCACTATTTTTTTTCAAGAAAATGAAAGGGAAATTATTGGAATCAAATTAAAGGATGAATGTGAATGTGGAGAAAATATATACATATTGTGCTTCTTTATTTTTTAGTGGGATATTAAAGATAATATTGTTTACTTTTTATGACCCATTGTGTTCAATCATTAGCTATGAAAAATAACGCATTATTTTTCTTCTCTTCACATTTATACTTTATTTTTCACTTGCCGACTACCTAGATATCATATATATTATTATTAATATAAAATATGCATAGCCAAAACAAGTAAATAAATTTTGTAGTATTATTTAGAAATATTAGTATAGTCAAAATAAAGAAGAATAGAATTATTAGACAATTACTACGATAAATATTTTTTTTTTAAATTTAACTAATTTTTTATATTATTTTTTGAGATTTAAACTTTTTAATTTTGATTGTACATTAAGATAAAGAATTTAATTTTTTTAAAATAAAAATTAATTTATCTAAAAGCTAGGTAAAAAAATATTATAAATTATAATAATTAATAATTCATAATATTAAAAAAGGTTATGTTAGAAATTTGTTTTCCAGTATTTGTTTGATTTAGTCAAATAAAATGTAACGACCCTCTAATTCGATTTATGAATTTTACCCATTTTTCGAAATTTAATCCTTTTAATAGTTTTTATATATAATTTATAACTTGTGAGAATGAGTATTATAATTCTTTTTATAAATATATTAAATTTATTTAAAATTTATCAAATAATAAAACAAATAAATGGGCTAAGCCCAAAAAGGATTTAAAAGGAGAAAAACAAAATTAATAAAGAACAAAAAAAAGGGGGCTACGCCCAATTGGAAAAAAAAGGGTTAAACATTCTGCTGGTTGTTTGCAGCAACAATAAAAAAAAATAACAAAAAAATATGTTACGCAGTGCAGAAAAAAAAAAGAGGCAAGTTTGAATTGATGAAGATGAATCAATGGTTGAATCAGGTAATAATTTCAACTTAATATTAAGGTAATTGAGTATTAGTGTGTGCAATTATAATTATTATTATTACTTAAATGTTGGCTTTGAAAGAGGAAAATATCGAAAAATTTTTGAAATTGGAATGGAACAATAGAAGGAGGAAGTTATAATCTGATTTGTTGTTGATGAATGACAACAGAATATTTGTCAAAGGGAAGTATGATTTGGTAAGATACAATATGTTAATAATCATTCAAATAATTATTATCAAATTTTAGCATAATAACTAGAAGGATAGGATGGAGAAAATGATTTTTTTTATTAACTTGTGCCCATTTGGGTGGTGAAAGTTTTGATTTTTCCGTAACCGAAAAAGCTATGTTTATATTGGGTTTTTAGTGTTTCTCCTATTTAATCTTTTATTTTTATTATGATTCAAGTTCTTATATATTAAAGTAGATAATTGAATATAAGAGTTAATTTATTATATATGAATATTATTAGAATTATGATATGAGAGAAGTTGGAATATAATTCTAGACTCAAAATTTGACAATATGAGGGTGGATATGATAATTGACATAAAAAATTAGGAATTATATTTTAGGTTTGTGTAAGTTTTTGGTTCTAGGCTAGACCTATGGTAATATGGGTGTTGTTAGTTTTGAAAACTTATTGGGATTGATTGCTTGAATAGATTGCATTGATTTGGAAGCTCAAAGAAAAGAGAAGGCTCAAGTTCTAGAGTCATTGTTCGACTATTTGAGGCAAGTGGATTTCTAAACTCTGGTTAAGTGTATGAAATGTGTGTATTTCCTTGTGGTATATGTTTGGGAGTAACAAAATTGGTGATGGGTTGACATGTCCACATTGATTAATTCTAATGATGAAAAGAATGGGGACAACAAAAGGCAATGTGATTAATTGTTTATGTGTGTTGTGTTGAGAAAGGGTTGAAGGCTTGTTGAATCATTGTTGATGTAACTTCATGTTTTTGTGGTTGTGAACTGTGCGATGTTATGAAAATGGTCATCTCCTCATTATATGTGTGAACTTGTCATCTGCATTATTCTGAGGCATTGGTTATGGCAAGTGTTATGTGCATTGAGAAATAATGGGTACTTAAGAGGATGTACCATTTCGAGGGACGTATCGCGCGCCGCGATGGATACAATATTTTGAGGGACTTATCGCGCGCCGCGATGGTTACTATTATCGAGGTTCGTGTCGTGCGCCGCGACAGATGCATGGACAGATATGTCCCCCATGGGTCCCGAACTAAGAGACAGCGGGTGTGTATCACTAGGTCAGACATGCATCATTATACTTGACATTGCATTCCATTGCATTGCACATACTTACCATTAGTGAACTTGATATCGTATTTTGCTGATCTTCTGATTGCCTTTCTGCAGACCTTGTGATTGATCAATATTGAGCTTGTTATCGCGGTGATATGTAATTTGTTGAAGTGTTGTTGTTGAGGATATGTAATTTGTCTAAGTGTTGTTGTTGAGCTACGTGCTATGTAAACTGTGAGTTGTTAGGTTGGGTTGATTTTAATGCAGGTTGTAGTTGTGGAGGTTTGGTTGGGGGTGGTAGGAGTACCCGTATTTTATCCTCTTAGCTTGTGTTTAGACGTTTTACTTGCTGGGTACCGTGTGGTTTGGTACTCAACCCTTGCTACTACAAATTTTTTTGTAGGTTACTAGCCCGGACTTTGTGATATTTCCCTTCTCCTTGTCTGAGGTTTCTTGGAGATTTGTCAGGTAGCTGTTTCCATCGCAGCAGACTTTCTTCTCCTTAATTATGATCTTGTTCTACTCTAGAAACAATATCATATGAGACTTATATTCTCTTTTGATTCAATTATAATACTTTAGAGACTTGTACACGTGACAACCAGGTTTTGGGGTACAATGTAAGTTGATAGTAAATTTTCCGCATTTTTATCGTAATAGTTGAGTCTTAGGCTTACTTGTCTTGGTGGGATAAGACGAGTGCCATCACACCCATTTTTGGGTCGTGACATAAAAGTAGTTTAAATGGAGTCAATATGTATCCTGATTTTTAGCTTGAAGTTACAGCTTTTAGTGGTCTGTTAACATGATATTTGTTAGCCTATTTTTTAGCTATTTCAGTTTGTGTACAGCTCTATAAGAGAGCCTTCATGTTGATCAATAAACAGTGAGAAAATTTCAGTTCCCTTTGTTGCTTTCTTTCATTGATATACACAATTATTTCTTTCATCAGTGGTATCAGAGTGAGGTTACATAAATAGCAGCAGCTAGCGTTCAATGACTTCCTCAGACAACTTCGTACAACCAGCTATTCCGCGCTTTGATGGTCACTATGACCATTGGAGCATGCTCATGGAAAACTTCTTGAGGTCCAAGGAGTATTGGAATGTTGTTGAATCTGGAGTAGCAGAACCAGCAACAGGAGCTACGGAAGCTCAGAAAACAGAATTTGAAGTCTTAAAATTGAAAGATCTTAAGGCTAAAAATTATCTGTTTCAAGCTATCGATCGTTCCATTTTAGAGACTATTCTTTGCAAAGAAACCTCCAAGAAAATTTGGGACTCCATGAAGAAGAAGTATCAAGGCAATGTGAAGGCAAAAAGGGTACAACTCCAAGGACTCCGAACTGAATTTGAGACTTTACGTATGAAGTCAGGAAAGGCAGTTGCAGATTTCTTTTCAAGAACTATGGCAATTGCAAGCAAGATGAGAATCCATGGAGAGCAAATGCAGGATGTCACCATTGTTGAGAAAATCCTTCGATCAATGACACCGAAATTTAATTTTGTTGTCTGCTCTATCGAAGAATCGAAGGATATTGATGAACTCTCCATTGATGAATTGCAAGTTCTTTGTTAGTTCATGAGCAGAAAATCATCCAGCAGGACAAAGAAGAGCACGCGCTGAAAGCAACCACAGATAATCCTTCTAAAACAAGTGGAGCTCGAGGTAGAGGCCGAGGTCGGAGTAGGGGGAAAGGAAGCTACAGTCGAGGTAATCAACAGTACCATTAGCAGAATGATGATCAGTTTCAACACAGAGGAAGGAGACGTGGAGGACATGACTCAACAACTCAGAAACCAAAGTCAATAGACAAAACAAATGTTGAGTGCTATCGCTGCCATAGGTATGGTCATTACCAATCAGAATGTCGAACAAATTTAAATAGACAGAGTGCAGAAGTATCTAACTTTGCAAAGAAGGAAGAAGAAGTTTCTCTCTTGATGGTGTGTTATGCAAGTGAAGAAACTCGAGAAAATCTGTGGTATTTGGACACCGGGTGTAGCAACCACATGCGCGGAGACAAGAAGGCATTTTCTGAATTGGATGAAAGCTTCCGCAATACCGTCAAGTTCGGTGATAACTCTGTTGTATCTGTCATGGGAAAAGGCAATGTCACTTTACATGACAAAGATAACTCTTTTCCCACAATTTCTAATGTGTTTTATGTTCCAGATTTAAAGACCAATTTTACTTAGTATTGGTCAACTACAAGAAAAGGGTTATGAGATATCCATTAAAAATGGATTATGTCGAATTGAAGATTCAAGGCTGGGTTTGATTGCTCAAGTTAGCATGACAACAAATCGTATGTTTCCACTTCAGTTGCAGAGTTCGACATCTTCCTGCTTCTCGGCTAACGTAACAGATACATCGTGGTTATGGCATTTTCGTTATGGCCACTTGAGCTTTGGTGGCTTAAGCACTTTGCAACGAAAGAATATGGTCAGTGGCCTCCCTCAAATTGCAGCTCCTTCTCAAGTATGTGAGGAATGTGCAGTTGGCAAGCAGCAACGTAATCAATTTCCTAAGGGAAAATCATGGAGAGCCAAAAATGTGTTGGAGATGGTGCATTCTGATCTTTGCGGCCCAATTAATCCATCTTCAAATGGAGGTAAAAGATACATAATTACCTTCATTGATGATTTTAGTCGGAAGACATGGGTCTATTTTTTGCAGGCCAAATATGATGCTTTTGAAGCTTTCAAAAGCTTTAAAATTATGGTGGAGAAAGAAGCAGGAAGCCAAATCAAAGTACTTCACACAGATCGAGGCGGGGAATACAATTCACAAGAATTTGCAAATTTTTGTGAAAGCGATGGCATTAAAAGGCAACTGACAGCAGCCTATACGCCCCAACAAAATGGTGTCTGTGAGCGCAAAAATCGTACTATAATGAATATGGTGCGCAGTCTCTTGACAAGAAGCAGTGTTCCAAAATCTTTCTGGCCTGAAGCTGTTAACTAGAGCATTCATATTTTGAATAGAAGTCCTACATTATCTGTTCAAAATATGACACCGGAGGAAGCTTGGAATGGTCGAAAGCCTAATGTTGATCATTTCAGAATTTTCGGGTGCATTTGTTATGCCCGCATTCCAGATCAAACAAGAACGAAGCTTGATGACAAAGGTGAGAAATGCATTTTCCTTGGTGTTAGTGATTGTTCTAAAGCTTACAAACTATATAATCCTATCACCAAGAAAATTGTCATTAATCGAGACGTAATATTCGACGAAGAAAATTTCTGGACATGGAGTGAATCTGGTTCTCAACGACAAATTCTAGCAGACTTTGATGGGCAAGATGAAGCTGAAAATCAACATAATACTGTGGTAGTGCAGCAACCAATCACTGCTCAAGATGAACAAGTAGTGACTCAAGTCTCAACGGCAGTTGCAAGAGAACCAAGAAGCATAAAAAGACCAATATGGATGGATGATTATGAAGTAACGGGAATTGGTCAATCTGAGGAACCAGTTGTTCATTTTGCTCTTTTTGCAGATTGTGATCCTGTAACCTGTGAAGAAGCAGTAAAGCAATCAAAATGGAGAAAAGCTATGGATGAAGAGCTTGCAGCTATTGAAAGAAATAACACATGGAAGCTGACTGAGCTTCCGAAAGGTCAGAAAACAATCGATGTGAAGTGGATTTTTAAGACCAAGTTGAAAGAAAATGGTGAGGTGGACAAGTATAAAGCTCGCTTGGTGGCAAAAGGTTACGAGCAAGAATTTGGTGTAGATTATGAAGAAGTGTTCGCTCCAGTAGCAAGACATGATACAATCAGATTATTGATTGCATTGGCAGCACAAAATTCGTGACCCATTTTCCAGTTGGATGTCAAGTCGGCTTTCTTGCACGGAGACTTGAAAGAACAGGTATTTGTTGAACAACCTCCTGGTTATGTTAAAGTTGGAGATGAATTCAAAGTGTATCAGCTAAAAAAGGCTTTATACAGACTTAAACAAGCCCCACGAGCTTGGTATAGTCGCATTGAAGCCTATTTTTTGAAGGAAGGTTTTTCTAAATGCCCATATGAGCATACTCTGTTTGTTAAAGTTGAAGGAGGAAAGATGCTTGTTGTGTCCTTATATGTAGACGACTTTATATATACTGGAAATGATGCTGCTATGTTTGAAAAATTGAAGTAATCCATGATGCTTGAATTTGATATGTCTGATCTTGGAATGATGCACTATTTTCTTGGCATTGAAGTGGTGCAATCTGCTGCTGGTATTTTTATTACTCAAAGAAGGTATGCTCGAGAAATCCTTGACAGGTTTGGAATGAAGAACTGTAATCTTGCTGAAACTCCAACTGAAGCTGGTCTTCAACTTGTGAAATATCCAGAAGAAGGGAGGAAAGTGGACAACAGAGTGTTCAAACAAATCGTGGGAAGTCTGATGTATTTGACTACTACTAGACCTGACATAATGTATTCTGTCAGCCTTGTTAGTAGGTATATGGAATGCCCTCAGGAGATTCATCTTGCAGCTGCCAAATGAATTCTCCGTTACGTGCAGGGAACAATTGATTGTGGAGTGTTTTACAAGAGAGGAAACAAATATGATTTTTTGGGTTTTACAAATAGTGATTATGCCCGAGACAAAGATAACAGAAAAAGTACTTCGGGATATGTGTTCATGTTGGGTTCTGGAGCTGTTGCTTAGTCTTCTAAAAAGCAATCTGTTGTCACTTTATCAACCACTGAGGCAGAATTTGTATTTGCTACAACTTGTGCCTGTCAAGCTATATGGTTCAGAAGGATACTTGAGGAGCTGCAGTTCAAGCAAAGAGGACCAACTGCAATTTATTGTGACAACACATCAACGATCAAACTCTCCAAAAATCCCGTGTTTCATGGCAGGAGCAAACACATAGATGTTAGGTTTCATTTCTTAAGGGATCTCACAAAAGATGAAGTCATTGAAGTTCTCTACTGTAAGAGTGAGAATCAAATTGCTGATATAATGACAAAGCCTTTGAAATTATGCACATTCCAGAAACTCAGGAAGTTGCTTGGTGTTTGTAACTATTTCAATTAAACTGAAAGCATTCAGTTTAAGGGAGTGATTGTTAGAAATTTGTTTTCCAGTATTTGTTTGATTTAGTCAAATAAAAGTAGTTTAAATGGAGTCAATATGTATCCTGATTTTTAGCTTGAAGTTACAGCTTTTAGTGGTCTGTTAACATGATATTTGTTAGCCTATTTTTTAGCTATTTCAGTTTGTGTACAGCTCTATAAGAGAGCCTTCATGTTGATCAATAAACAGTGAGAAAATTTCAGTTCCCTTTGTTGCTTTCTTTCACTGATATACACAATTATTTCTTTCATCGGGTTATACTTAAAATTCTATTCATTTGACTTTTAAAATTTAAACGATTGTCACAAAAATTGAGTGCAAAATATTATACTATCATGCACGTGAACTATTGTTTGTCTAGTTCTTGTACATATTATAATAAGGGACCACCAATGTTTGACTTTTAAGTTTTTTAATATATTGTTCAATAGAAGAATATTTAACCATAAATAATTTTATTTGATATTCAAGATTATGTAGATAGAGTAAAATATTTTATGGATTAATGTAAACACGGTTATGTAGGGTTCATGTAGAACATTCACTTGAAAAGGAAGTATAGAAATCAAGTCCCCACCACTTATCCAAATCGAATTTACAGATAAAATTGCATTACATATCCTTCTCTATTTTTTGTTAGAGTGAAGGATATGTTGTTGTTCCTCTTATATTTCAAACATATTTAGAACAAAACTTTGAACATTTTTGTAAGACAATAAAATTTAAGAACATTTTCACAACTAGAAAATTAAAACTAGTAGCGAAACTAGAATCAGAAAGAGATTTTAAAAAAAATATACGAAATATTTTTCTTAAAGAATGATTATTGTTAATATCAGTCTAAAGAATCTTACTGATACCAACAAACTAGTTACCAAGTTTAATGAACCAGTGAAGAACAAAAGAATAGAACAACTGAAATTAATTTACAAATCTAAAATTTGTAAAATACGTACCAAAATCTGGAAAATTTTTAATAGGAAAAAGATCAAGTCCATTGAACTCACAGTGTCCCCTTAAGGAAATTATTCCCCTTTAGTATCCGAGGTTTGATTTGATATATGACCTCTCATGGTAAAATGATCTCAATCACTAGAGTATAGATACCAAAAACTCCGGTGTCAGCGAATCACTCAATGACAGTAAAGTACACTTAGAATACTAGATTTATTAGTTGAAGAAGAAGTCCATGATTTCTATATTAAAATGAGAGGAATTCCCTCAATTTATAGAAAACAAAGGGTAGTGCAAAAAGGTTCTTATTGTGCCTTACCGGAAAGGTCACAAAACTTTGGAAAATTCACAATCTTTCAGAAAGGTCGTCACCTTTCGTAGAAGTCACAAATTTCCATAAAACTCTTAACTTTTCATAAAAGTCGCAACTTTTCATAAAAGTCACAACTTTTTCATAAAAGTCGCAACATTTCATTAAAGTCACAACTTTTCATAAAAGTTGCAACTCTTCATTTTCCATTCGCACCTTTTTAAAACCCAACAATCCCCCGCATGAATGGGAAATGACTGGAAGACAGAGAAACGGACAAGTATGTGTACTTTAGAAGCAAGAATTAATTGCATCTGGATAAGTAGGCTTCCCCTTGGAATTTCTGTAGTGAACATATGTCGGATATACTCGGCCAATCGATAGATGCGATATCTTTGAACCGTCGAACTTTGGTGTATACCTAGACAACCACATGTCACACAATTAACCCTTTACCATTTATGGTTCTTACGGTTGTGTTCATTTTAGCCATGAACACCTCCTGGTTTCATGAGTGTATAAAGAGATGAGCTTTTGACAATCATCTTCTTTGAAGCGGCTTACATTTTACACTCACATAGGTGATTCCTAACCGTGTTATCACATAGATACACTATTTGGTCAACTCTGTCAAACTTAGCAAATCATTAAAACCATTAAGCTTTATTAACTTATTAACAAGCCCTAATCTTGTATTCTTGTCCCTGAGCATTGTCTTCATCATGAGAATGGATTGAGTTTGTTGACAATGTTGAACCGTCATTTACAAACTTTGTTTTTCTCCTTAAATCTAGCTCTTGGGATCTCCAGTCTGCTAGATAGAGTTACCGCCATGATGACTTGTCCTAAGCCGTAAATTCATTCCCTTAGATGATCTTTTAACTTCCTCTCTAGTTAGGCCTTTTTGTATGTGGATCAGAAACATTATCCTTTGACTTTAGATAGTCAATTCTGATAATTCCACTAGAAAGTAGTTTTCAGACGATATCATGTCTATGTCGTATATGACGAGACTTTCCGTTATACGTCATGCTCCATGCCCTACCTATTGCATCTTGACTGTGAAAGTGTATGCATACTAATGCCAATGGTTTGGGCCAAAATAGAATATCTATCAAGAAATTCCGGAGTCTTTCAACTTATTCACCAACCTTATCTAGAGCACCTAGCTCAAAGATCATTGTAGAGCTCGTGATACATGTCTCTTTTGAAATATTTCTAAGAGACTGTTCCTCTACCAATAGTAAATACATATCCACTCGTGAATTTCACTTCATTCGTCCGATGATTCAATTTGCATCACTATATCTTCCAATATTGTTAGCAACTCCAATAATTTTCATTCCACTTGCTTTATAGCATGCATTTAGTAGCATTTATGTCATTAGTGTCTCTATTGAGGATCAACATATCACCAATATAAAAGTAAACGACCTTATGATTTTAATGTGAACACATTTATCACTTCTATCATTCTTCAACCCATTTGCCGACATGGTTTGATCAAATTATTTCATTGTTTGGGTGCTTTCATAATGTGACTTAAAAAGTTCACACACTTTCTTTTATTCACAAGGAACCACCAAACCCTCAGATTGTTCCATGTAACTTTCTTCCTCCAATTCTTCATTTAAGAAAGTTCTTTTCACATTCATTTGATGAATTTGGAGATCATATACCACACTAATAATTTTTACATCGGAATAGATGTAATCCTAATTACTAACGAGTATATATATCGACAAAATCAAAACCTTGTTTTTTTTGTCTAAAGCCTTTGACACAAAGTCTTGTTTTATATTTTTCAACAGTTCCATCAACTGTCATTTTCCTTCTAAAGATTCATTTTGAACCTAAAGGTTTATTTTCTTGAAGAAGATCAATTAACTTCCAATATTGTTTATTGACACCATCTTTCAAAAGGATGAGTCTACATAAGACACAAAAAATATTACAAAATCATATTCGAAGGAAGTAAATGTCCTTTAACATTTACTAAGTCTCTGAATCTTTTTATTAAGTACATTATCCTTTTCATTTCCTAGGCCTTTTAGACCCTTCTCTAGACTACTCAAGTCTAATTTTACAGTCCACATCATTTGTACAGACAGACTTTTTTGGGTTCTAAGATCCAAAGTCGAGAGGGAAACAGCCCAGATCGTACACTGAGGTCCTTAAGCAATCACTTAGTGGAAAAGGAAGTGATCGAGCGATGACAACCAGGAGGTGGGATTGGAAGCAGCCATCCTTTGAAGAAAGCGTAATAGCTCACTGGTCTAGCTCCATGGCACCGAAAATGTATCAGGGCTCAAGTGATTCACCAAAATGACGAGACCTTGAAAGCTGTTTATTCAAGTGTCAGTAGCAGAACGTTCTGTCAATCGGGGAAGGTTTTTGGTGACAAGACCTGGAGATATCAGAAGCAAGAAGAGAGAGATAGAGTGGATAAAAGAGCATGACAGAGAAGTGAGAAGAGCATGATAGAATGAGGTTATCAGCCTTTGAGCAAGGTTCAGAGTATGAAAAGCAAGGAATTGATCGGGTCTTCGTTGTGATAGATGATAGCATGATAATTGTAATCAAGGGGCGATCGATCATATCTGCAAATTCTAGATAAAATGTTAGCTTATAAATAGATAAAGTATGACCAACAATGATAAAATATAAGTTCAAAATAAATGACAAGAGGTGATAAGAAGCGTATCTGTTTTGAGACGTAGTACAAGCCTTGATAGTCTTTGGCCCATCTCTGAAGAATAACGTCAAACTCCAACAGATGTGATAATATAACAATAATAAAATATACGGGAATGTCTCGTTGTAAGGAGAGTTTAAACGTCATTTTAAGACGGATGAGTCTGAGTGTCATTTTAAGACGAACGACCTAAATATCTTATAAAGCGGACGAATAAAAACTATCATGTGAGGCGGACAAGCCTAAATGTCCTTTTAAGGTGGACGACCTAAATGTCCTATAAGATGGACAAACCTAACTGTCGTTTTAAGGTGGAAGGTGATATACCGTGGTTTCACGGTATTATTAATACTTTTTCCTTAAGTTTAGTGTGTCCAAAAGCCTTTTTGCTCTAATTTTTATATAATTTTCTCTTTGTTTTGCAGGAAATCTGTCCAAAGCTGAATGCGGAGATTTTGAGCGAAGAAATGCAGAAGAGACCACCTACGGAGCTTATGACGGTCCGTCGTGCTTGTGACGGTCTGTAGGTGGCAGCGTAGTGCAGCTGCTGAAGGAAGATGGAGAAGTTTGACCAAGTGTGGGATTACGAAGCTTGTGACGGTTCGTCGTGGCTATGACGGTCCGTCCTGCAGGTTCGTCGTGAAGTTCAGAGAAGTGATCCCAGTACCCAGATTCCAAGAGTTGAAGTGTTTTGGAAAAAAGACCCTCAACGGACCATTGTGCCTATGACGGTCCGTCATACTTGCCGTCGAGGGAAATGAAGATAGCAGCAGAAGAAATTGCACAAGTATGGGACAACGGAGTCCATGACGGTCCGTCGTGGGTCACGACGGTCCGTCGCGAGGTCCGTCGACCCAGCCGCGTTTTGGCAGATTTCTAGCAATTAGAATCCTTGTTTAATTAGGTTTTTATTTTTTTATAAATAGTTCAAAAAACCCCGTTTTTGATATTAGACTCCATATTGTTAGACTCCGTATTGTGAGACTCTATGAGATTAGACATCAGATTTTTAGACTTTGTGTATTAGTGGTTGATTTTGAGATTCTTGCAAGTGATTTTTGGATATTAATCAAGCAAACTTTGGATTTTATTCTTTCTCATTGAAGTAAGTACATAAATTCGTATTTAATATATTTGAATATTGTATTTATGGCTATGAGTAACTAAACTCCATAACTAGGGTTGTGGGAACCATAGGCAAATAATGAGATAAACCCTAACAAAAATAACAATTCTAGATTAGTGTC